ATTTTGGTGAGGAATATGAGGGAAAATCACTTTCTTTTCTTTTCCTACTAAATTCCTTGAACCAAACATAGTTTAAATGTGAGACCTAAATTTTTCTCATCTCCCCTTAGAGGTGTGAAAAAGGGGGAAGTTGGGAAAATTTCAAGGTCCCATTTAAAATTGTTTTGTACAAATGAATGGAGGACCGTATCACCTCCAATACACTCTACCCTTTGCTTATCTTTTTAATTTTCCCTACGTGAGGATAGAGTCAGTATTTCAATTTTTTAACTCTATACCATTTGTCATATAAAATGATTTAAAAATAATTTTAGTCAAACATTATAAACCAAAACACGGAGACAATCTTATATAACATTACTCAACATTTTTATGTAATGTATGTTTCTAACCATGGTTTGTTTTCAGGCGATTCCGACATTCTCAAGAGCATGCCGGGCGACCAGTAATTTTGTTAAGATCGTGCTTTCCGGTGATTGCTGTTTTTCCCCTCTAAACTGTGTCATTTTAATTTTAATTGTGGTTCTTCAATGCTAGTTGGTTGACATGTACCATCACACCATCCAGATTCTGGCAGTGTTTTGATGTTTGGTTGATGAATTTTGCTTCTGGGATGAAATGATGAACTGTGCCTTTCCTTTAATTATTTATCTTTATTTACATATGAGTAGCATTATGTGTCATAAACATGACTTTTATGAACTATTTTCATCATCCAAAAACTTGTCCTTACAAACCCCCCCAAACAGGTACCTGAGTATTCTTTATGTGCTCTATTTGGCCAGTTTTATTCTGGTGCTCTTGTGTAGAAAATGTATTTTCTACAATACTAGCCTTAACATCTCTGCTAAAACCCTTCTTTAAGTTCGGACATGAGTTGTTCGAAACCGGGTGAAATGTCAAAAATTCATCACAAAAATAATTAATATTGATTAGTTCGGACTCCGGTCGAAATGACTAACGAAACTAATCTGAGAATGGCCTAAGACCGAGTTGAACTTGATTGAACTAGACTGGAGTGAAGACCGAACTAAACAAAATCATGGAGTAATGAGTCATGACCGGACTTAAATCTATTTGCATTCGAATTGGAACATACCAAAATACTTTGAACCGATTGGACAGATAAAATTTTTTTTATATACATAATTTTGATCTATTAATTATGTTTTAGGCTTTCGTGCAAATTATTTATATGTTTTTCTTTGTAAAAAATAAATAAAATGAGTACCTTTTCAAAAAGAAAGTGAAATATCCTTTTCATTTTTAATACTCCGCACAAAGTATTAAAAAAACCCTAGGGGAAAAAATTTGCTTTATTTTTCTATTTTTTTCATTTATTTTGCTTTGTATGATCTTTTTTCAGGAGTTTTTCTTATTTCATTTATTTTTTAATGTATAAAAAAACTTTCATACATTCTTCAAGATGAAATTTTTTAAAAATGTTCTAAAGGATGAGAGAAAAAAAAAGAAACAAAAAGAGAGACATTATAAATATAACCATGAAACATTATTGACAAAACAGAAGAAATATACAGAGTATTTCCTCCGTTCCAGAGTATTTGTCTACTTTAATTTTTACACACCATCCAATGCACTTCTTTAATCTATTTTATCTTGTAATTTGTATATTAAAAAATTATAAAAATTTAATATTAATAATCTATATGTTAAGACAAATCAAACAAGATCACGAATGACTATATTTATGTTTATACATTGAGAGAATTTGATGAGTCAAAGTACTTAGATGAACAGTTCCAAAAGTCAAAAGTGAACGAATATAGTGGGACGGATGTAGTATTTATTAGCGCCTATAGATAAAGTATGGGAAAATTCTAAATATGGTACTAAAACAATGCTAATTTCCAAAAGTAGGACCAGTACTACCGGAAACGTTTTTTTAATGACTAGAATGACTAAATTAACCCTAGCCGCTGGATTTGGAGAAACGCGCAATCCGCAATTTCCGAAAATCGAGAGACATTTACGAGCGAGAAGAAATCTAGGGAAACGAGAAGATAATCGATCAGGGCATTAAACAATCCAGGCTCACCTTCTCTCGATGCAAATCTAAAGGAGCGAAAATAGAGAGAGAGAGAGAGCGTGAATCTAGGAAAGCGATACCAATGGCTTCCATGAAGGTAACAATGGCGTCTAAGAAAGGTGAAAGCGAAGACAGCGATTTTGTGACGAGGGAATCCGATGATATGCTTCTGACAATGCCTAACGGATTCGTAAGCTCTGAATTTTACAATTTCAAATTGATGAACATGAATTGAACTTTATGAAATTGAAGTTTATGAAATTGATTGAAGGCACGCATTCTGTTATTGTTGATTGAATTCAATAGTTATGAGTTTTCGATTGAGCATGTCTACAATGTTGTCTATTAATGTCTACTTGGTCTAATTACTGTCTACTCGGTTTTTATTAACGTCTAATTATTACAGTTTTTTCATTGAGATATAAGTTTTGAAGGCTTAAGAAAATCATAAATCCAGCAGATGAATTTGTGCTTTGAACAATTCAATTGTGGTTGTGTGTAATAAGAAAAGTCTGATAATGTCTATCTGGATTATTACAAATTATGAGACTATGTTCCGTTGGCGTATTACTGTCTACTCGTCTATTAATAAGAATAATGTCTAATAATGTCTACCTGAATTATTACAAATTATGAGAATATGTGTTCTGTTAGCGTATTACTGTCTACTAATGTCTATTAATAAGAATAATGTCTGATAATGTCTACCTGGATTATTACAAAATATGAGACTATGTGTTCCGTTGGCGTATTAATGCCTGTTAGGCATTTGAATGAATATAATGATATTTGTGGATGATGAGACAATGTCTTTGGTTAGGGAATGAATGTCATGTTAAGTCTTAAAATGAATATAATGACATTTTTGATTGGGCCATAAAATTTTGATTGCTTATGAGAAGCATAAAGTCAAGCGGATGTTACTGTGCATTGAAATTGGTGTTTTAATGTCCTCTAAGGCATTTGTATGAAAACGTAAAATACTTTCTAATGCAATTTGTGTTGTGTTTTGGAAACGAAGTGGACAGAATTTTGTTTAATGTGACAGGTCTATAAACGCCTATGTAAGCCAAACCTACTGGATACAAAAACTGAAGCTAAAATAAATTCATACTGCAATGTTGGTAATGGGGTTAAGAAGTTGAAAGGAGTGCTTTCAAAAGACGAACTAAGTGAATTTCGAAAGACTGCCTTTGGATATTGGTTAGACATTGGAGAATTGAAATGTGTTATGGCCAACTTCTGATTCTTCTCACACTCAACCATGTGGAGCCGATGGACAGAGTGCACACCTCTGAAGAAATTTCATTTTCCATTTGTGGCAGACTGATTAAATTCACAAAGAAAGACTTCCAGGAGGTGAGTGGTTTTAGGTTTGGGAGCAGCAGTGAAAAAATGGAGAATTATACAGAACCAAGTGACATAAGTAAAAGATACTTCAATGGTCAAATGAATGTGACAAGAGAAGATGTGAAGATTGAATTTGAGAGAGTCAAGAGAAATAAAAATAGAGAAGCTTTAGATGCAGTGAAGTTGGGGCTCCTATACATGTTAGGGACCTGTATAATTGGTAACCAGCCAAGCATTAAACTTCCTGGACTGTATCTCCACTTGGTCGATGATTTATCCAAGTTTAATAGGTATCCATGGGGAGAAGATGTGTGGAAAGATCTGGTAGAGAATGTTCGGAAATGCTGTTGTATTATGAATACAAGCAAGAAACCAAGGTTCAATTTCCCTGGATTCCATTTCGCTTTACAGATATGGGCGTATGAAACATTTCCAGCACTGATGCAAGAGAAGGAATGTATACTGGACGAAGGAAAGAAGACATCATGGCCAAGGGCATTAAGATGGTCAGCGGACGGGAGGACCACCAAAGAGTTGTTGGAGAAGAAAATATTCAAAAATGAAAAGTTAAAACCTAAAAAAACAAAAGAGATGTGTGGGGTACTGTTTTGTATATAATATTGTGTTTTTTTAATCAAAATTAAATTTACATTGAATCATAATATGCCATTGTTTTGATTTGCAGTTTGAGTGGACAGAGATAGTCAAATCTGATGAAGAAAAACTCATTCTCAAAAAAGCCAGGAATTGCCTATCTCTTCGGATACTAAACATGACCATGCTAGAAACAGCTGTTGTGACTGAACATGGGGATGCTTTACATGCTACAGCAAACGCCAGAAAGAGGAAAAGCCCCGAGCAATGCATCCAAAAAGGGAAAAGCCCCGAGAAGACAAAAATGAATCCTAAAAAGACATCAAAAACACACAGTCCTCAAATCATTTTGGAGAAAAATGGTGCCAAAGATGAGAAATGGAAGAATGAAACATTGAACAAAATAAAATCTTTGGAGAAAATGGTGAAGAGTATAGCAGCTAACATGGCAGAGAACAATAGAAAAGTGTTAAGTGAGATACAAGAGTTCAGAAAGGAAAACCAGAAACAATGGGGATTGGTTGAGGAATGCCTGAAAAATGCTGGCATTTTGGGGAAAACACAAAGTAAGGAATCCAGGAAGAAAGACACTCAGTTTCCAAGTTTTGATTTAGGCATTGATCTACATTGTACACCACAGACTGCTCATAAAAAGGAAGATCAAAATAAGACTGGAGACTGTGTAAAGGAGAAGGGAGAAGACATGGACATTGATTGGATGAATGGGCTGTTGACTGAGGCAAACACTGATCACAATTGCAAGGTTTGACACATAATTTTTTAGCAATTAACATCCTGACAATGACCATATTTAATTGTTCATCTTGATGACACAGGAAACTATGCACGTGGTTGAAGCTGATTTGGGAACATTACATAAAATCAGTGACCAGAAAGGCATTGACAATAAAGTCATTGACCAGCAGGTACGTACTAAAACATAGAATGCAAAGCTACATGATTATATTTAATAAAATGGTTGCAATTGGAGTTGAAATTACATACTAAGAGATAAATCATGCTATAGGTGATGGAAGATGGTTTGGAGGAAGGCCAGAAAATGGAGAGTGTCATTGACAATGTGGAAACAGCATCACAAGCTGCTCGGGTATATTTAGTCTAGTTGATATGGAACATTTTTCAGTTGGTAGAGTGTCATTTTGTTTATTTCCAATGACTAATTGTTGCATTATATTTGATTTTGTACAGGCAGCAGAGGATTTGGATCCAGCCATTTGGGACATTAGTCCTTACTCTGAACAACCAAAGGTCGCAGAGGGTATCATCAGTTATTTGTTTCCCACTGAACAACCACATCTCCTATATGATGTTCCCACTGAACAACCACAAGTCCTCATTGATATTCCCACTAAACCACCACAAAAAATCAATGATATTCCCAATGAACCACCACAAATGCCCAATGATGATCCCAGTGATGGTATAGATGCTGAACCACAGCTCAATGTTGGTCAACTTGAGGACATTCGGGATGAACAAGCAGAAGGCCCTGATGCTGAAGAACAACACACTAAGGATATTGCCATTGACCAACGAGAAGACACTACAAGGCAGAAGAGGGTTATGAAATGCCCAGATAAGTTTACTCATTCTGACAAAAAATTAAACACAAGAAAGACAAAGAGCAGACAAGGACCACAGACATCTAAACAGAAAGCCACAGATGGTGGTGATGACAATTCGCAACCCAACAATGTGGAGGCCGAAGCTGGCATGGCAGAAAGTCATCCCGAAGGGCTGAAATTAGCATTAACTGCTGAGAATTTGGAGTTGTTTTTAGCACAAGGTCTCCTAAGCAAGAAGAAAAAAGCAAATGGCACAAAGTACACAAGCCGGGAAAATGCTTTAAACCCAGAAGAATTTCGGCCACTCTGGGGGCATGACGAAACAATGACAAAAACATGGTACTATGGATTTTTCTACCCTCATGAATGGATGGATGATGTGGTAAGTATGAACATACACATTTTATTAAACGATTATAAAAATATGGTTATGGATTTTTAAATATACTAATGACTTACAATACTTTATCTACTACAACATGTAACTGTAGCCTTGAAATACCTGGTCATGAAAGCACAAGAATATGGATTGACCCAGCCATTTGCAGTAACAGACAGCCTATTTGTCAGTCTATTGAAGAAAGAATATGACAACTACTTGGGAAAAAGGAAAACCATTGCTGAAGCAGCATTGAACACTTCAATACTGAAACCAATCGTAGGGGCTGTGCCAGAATTGGGAGGACGCTGGGCAGAATACGATTACATTTACATGCCAATCAACACTGGAAACCATTGGATACTGGTTGTGCTTGACATATCAAAGAAATGCATCAGGCTGTATGATTCTAACAACAATGGGAAGACCAGTCGCCACACAAAACCATACCTTCCATGTCTACAGATCTTACTGCCAAAGGTGATGGACAAACTGGAAGTGTACAAGGAGCGGAAAGTGCCTGAGATGGGAGATGATGTGCTAGGCATTGTGAAGGTAAATGATTGCCCACAACAACAGGACGCGTAAGTTCGTAGATGTTATAAATGTCCTTTCTAGGTACCTAATAACATGTAATATACTTAAAGCACCATAATGTCCAATGTACGTAATAATATGCAGGGTGAGCTGTGGCGTATTCGTTGTAAAGATGGCTGAGCATCTAATCATGGGGATGGAAGTGGATGAAGTGGATGTTGCAGGCATTGAGAGTTTCAGGAAAAAATTTGCAACAGAAGTGCTGTTATATGCAAACAGGAGGGCTGACCAGGAGGGCTGAGCATTGGCATGGGAAATGTAACCAAGTTTAAAAAACTTTTATGTTTAAGTGTGCTGTTGTAGTAGTTGCACTATGGGTTTTAAGTGCAGTATCGGTACTTTTCCTATTATTAGTAATATGGGTTGTAAGTGCACTATCAATACTTTTTAGACAGAATCTTGTAATATGGTTGGTGATTGAAGTAATCACATTACTTTTTTGGATAAAATTGGGGCACAGTATTTGATGAAACTTTTTTTTAAAAGGGGAGTAAACAAGTAACCTTTAAACACGTGAGTAAACTTTTATCAATGACAGAATCACTTCTTCCAACAAATAACTTTTATTAAGAAATGACACACCCAAACCATTCAATGTCAAGAGCATCTGGCGTTGTAATGCAAACACAATCTTTTAAACACATGGAATCTCTTTAAATCTCTCTTTGGCTGATACTAATGAAATACTTTTATCAAAGAATGGCAATCCCTACAGACCCTCATGTTCTTGAGGACAACACTAAAACCCGGGCTAGAAAGCAAAGGCAGGAGAAGGAGGGGGAGGGGGGTATCATTGAAAATACTTTAGGACTTTGGTTATATTTCTATATTTGCTGTTATCTAACAGAATTTACAGGAAAACAGAATGACCCATTCCACAAACACATGAATATCATGGCATTCAACACAAATGAAAAGTAAAAACAACCGAGCTAAAGAAAAGAGTGAAATGACATGATATTAGGATCAATTTCAAAAACACAATACAAAAGGACTTGAATTGTTCATGAATTAGAAAGAAACATAAGCTCCATAACAAAAAAAAGGTACTCTTGCATAAAGACTTATGTGTGACGGATAGAAAGGGGGTTGGTGCAAGTTTTTTTATTAAGTCCAGGCATTGTACACCAGGAGCAACATTGCCTGCTCGTAGTCTCGCCCCTAGATGGAATTCGCTGCTTCTTGGGTCTTCCAGGTGGGCGTTTAGAACATGAGGGAGGTCTACACAAAATACCCGACACAACCTCTGGAACAACCCAACTGTCTCTACTAGCCAATGGGTGTATAATGCCTTCATATGCTGCAATCCACTCAGAAGTAGTGTAGTATTTTGATATAAATTCATAGCATGAAACACTTGGGCGTGTACGAATAGCTACAACAGCATGAACACATACGAAGTGATCGATCTGGAACTCACAACAAGTACAAGTCCTGGACCGAAGATTAACTACAAAAGCCCTTCCATTAGTGTCCAAAACCTGGAACTCATACTCACACGATGGGCGAACCTGAAAAAATATTTTTGATAGTCAAAGTATGAAAAACATATAGTCATCAGAAAATGCATTGTGGCAGTAGAATAAAATAAATGAAAAAGAAACAAGAATGTGAATATAATGCCTTGTGAGACGTACACTCATGACTGCAGACGAAGCATGTAACTCATTCAACTTTGCTTCATAATGCCTTGTCAGAATAGATGACGTAGAATTAGCCAAGCTTCTCCGTTCATGGAACCATTTTTGCATCCTCACAATTATGAAATCAATAAGTTGTGCAATGGGATACACGCGGGCTGAAGCATCAACACTGTTCATTGACTCAGCGTTGTTTGATGTCATGATTGAGTATCGATTGTTTGCTGCCCGAGACCACTTCGAAAATCCAATGCGTGCTAGATATGGCTGAATGGCTGGATCCTCCTCATCTAACAATTTCATATACCAATTCCGTTCACGAACAGTTGCAGCCTTTGCAGCACGAATAAACTTCCATGTAACAGCTTTTGCAGAGCCACGGAATGACGTCTTAATGTTACCAAGAATGTGATATATGCAATGTCCATGCATAACGTTTGGGAAAACAGATTGCACAGCACTTATAATGCCATCATGGCGGTCAGACACAATATACTTCACTTCTTGAGCTACAAGGACCTCTTTAACCTTTTTTAAAAACCACTTCTAATTTGCAGTGTCTTCAGCATCACAAATGGCAAAGGCCAGTGGGAATATTTGTTTGTTCCCATCCTGTGCAACAGCGGTTAGAAGCGTGCCTTTATAGTATGACTTCATGAATGACCCATCAATAATCAAAACTGGAATGCAGTGAGCCCATCCATCTTTCCAAGCACATAGAGACATGAAGAAATACTTAAAGAACCCATTATCAAATGTGTTAAGCTCAATGGTGGAACCTGGATTTGAATTTTTTAGCATATAACACATAGATGGCAGCATTGCATATGACTCTTCATCTGATCCAAAACTTAATTTCAAAGCCTTTTCTTTCGCAAACCATGCTTTCTTATAATTCATAAAAATTCCATGGTCCCTACGCATGT